CTTTTTGTCATTTTAGAAACAAATGAAAATGTGACTGTGGAGTTGTTTAATACGTGAGAGGAAATAGTTGTGTCTGATGGAAGTTTGTTAATGGTTTTTTAGAAGAAAAATATATGGAGATGCCAATGAGAAACAAGATGATGACTGTCAAGAAAATAAAGATGACTAAATTAGGAGAAATGGAATTGGTTACATTACATTGCTTCATATAATTCATAGCTTTCTTTTATAAAGATGAATAAATAAATAGATAAGAGGAATTATGAAGAAGAAGAAGAAGAAGAAGAAGAACGTTCCTAGCAGTTCAATTTCAGGGTTCAAAGTTGCAAACTGAAAGCGACTTATTTACTACACATTTTAGATCAAAGCCATCGATAATTTTGCCAGGAAAAATAATACGTAGAATGTATGAATTATTATTGCATATAACCTTTTCCATTAACCTTCGAATTGGAATATTCGATTCCACATGTGCGGTGTTGATCGAACGGTTCACACCGAGGAGATGTAATTAATCTCTAACGATCTCATAACTTTTGAATTTGAACATTTGAAAACAATTTTGACCAAAATTTTAAATTTTTCATAAAGAAAATTTAAGAGATGCGAATATGGCATGTTAATTTCCAACCAAAATTACCTTTAAATTAATTTTAAAAATTATGGAACTATTAGTGATTAGTTAATACAATACGATATTAAAATTATGAACCATACTATAATAACATAAAGAATGACACAAATGTTGATACTTGATATAACACACGTGCTATAATTGTGTTATTTTATGTATGGTGTTAACTTTAAAATCAATAAATACTAAACAATATTTATGCCAATTCATTATATCAAATGTTATAATCGTGTTACTAGACACCTCACATTAATCTTAAAATCAAGCCATTATGTCAACTCATTAATATAAAGTAGCTTAATTCAAAATTAATGTGTGGAACAATCATATCAAATGAGGAATCAAAGAGAATATATTTGGGATTAATTAAGCAACAAATTTCTTCTCATTCTCAATCTTTACTTTCCACATTTTCTTCCATCAAAATCATTACACCTTAACTCCAAAATCACCTTACAACAAAAGAGCCAAACAAAGTCCAGATAATTATAATATGCACTCAATTATATAATTTGCATCTCTAACAACTAAAAGCTTCCATTTCCACTTAACACTTCCCATCACTTTCACGTGCCATAATAATACAATTCATTGAAAAAAAACACGTGATCCAATTATCCCCATTATATAACACAACATGCTAATATGCTATAGTACCGCCCCTAGTGTGAACACTCGCAGTATATAAGAATATATCATGCTCGTGCAAGTTATAATATATATATATAGTCATAGAACATAATTCATAGGTCAAAAAGCCATAAGGATTATGAAAAACGAAAAATTGGCAGCTAAAACATGGATAACAAAACTGAAATTCCCTCAACTTGTAAGCCTAGCCCTTCTAACCCTAATCGCGGTCTCTCTTCACTTGACCCGAAACAACAATGACCCGGTTGACCGGGTCGACCCGCATGTTATTATCCAAAACGAAGACCCGACTGAAAACCCGTGGGTCAAAAACGACCCGGTCAAAGGTTGCGACTTATTTTCGGGCACGTGGGTTTACGACAATTTGTCGTACCCATTGTACAAGGAAGGAAAATGCTCGTTTATGGAAGACGATTTCGCATGCGAGAAGTTTGGTCGAAAGGACTTGAAATATCAGAATTGGAGATGGAAGCCTCATGATTGTGACATTCCAAGGTTGGTTTTAATTTTTTAATTAAAGAAAATAGTCTATATATTATTGTATTTATGAAAACTTGCTCGAATGTGCGATTTAACTATACGCAAAAGCCCGATTATCTTTTTAAATTGTGAATCGCCCTGGACGTATTGTCTCTATTTCGCGTGAATCGTAAATTCGTAATACTTGGAGTGTGTGATTTGTAATTATTTTTGAAAGATCATTAAGTATATATTCATTTGGATGTTCTTAAATAAATAAATAAAATAAATAAAAAATCACTCATAACTAACATAAAGGATGAAATAATATATAACACGTGTCACGATTTGTTGTAAGATTAGATCGCTTATGAAATCAACAATCACTAAACATCGACATAATTTTTTGTCATCGTTTTTATGTCGACAAATTACTAGATAGTGTTATTCATATAAAGGTTCAACGGCACGGCACTCTTGGAGAAAATTAGAGGCAAAAGGCTCGTCTACGTAGGGGACTCCTTGAATCGAAACCTATGGAAATCGATGCTTTGCCTTGTCGATTCTTTTCTCCCGGCAACAACAAAAAGATCGATAAAATTGAGCGGCAACATGTTCTACTTTCGCTCCATTGTAAGTGTCACGA